ATTGCTGTGGGTGCCTGACCTTTGGTCCAGCTCTTTTTTTAATATACTGTATGTGTTGCGTATTGATTTGGCCAGCAGCAAGACACATGTTCTCTCCAGTCTCTTCATGCTGAGAGATACAATTAAAAGTAATTGCCTCTTTTTCTCCAGCAGGCAATGTGTGGGCTGCTTTCCCTGACAGATACTCTGCTGAAGTCCAAACCTATCTTCTGCACAGACAGGGAAATATTGCAATAGGATTAGGGTGGCACTTCCCTGTAGTCCTAAATTTGGCATCATCCCTGAAAATGACCATGTTCTTCTGCCTCACATGTGACTACAAACTCTGTGTCAGCAGCTCCTGAGAACAGTCCCTATTGCAAAGCTTGGTGTCTGCTTCCCAGCCTCAACACCCAGGAGCTGGTATGTTGTGGTTGCCCAACTTTGCATGTTGCAGAAGGTCCACTAAAGCAGGTGGCCCTACTCCATCATGCTCATTACTCTCAGTTTCCACTGCACCTCTCCATGTAGCACTCCAAATGTTCCATGAAAGAGTGACCCAACCATTCTATTTGCAGATGTAGAAAGCAAGGCTCAAAGATGGGAACTGAGCTGTTGAGGCTGTGTGTACATGGACATATCTTGGACATGAACTTTGTGAACATTGACATATATCAAGCAACTGAGTCTGAATTAGGGGTTCAGACCTGTGTCTGATCTCTCTAGGCAGCAGTTGATGTTCTTGCACTAGCAATCTATGCTGCCATCTCCTCTTCACAATAAATTGCTGATTCATCTTCCTTAAAGGCAGCAGTAAACATAGACATATGATATACACAAAATGTTCTAAACCAGTAAGGAGAACCACACGCATTCAGCTGGCTGTAGCTGTTCTGTTTGCAGGTACTTCCACTCTCTTCCTGTATCAGTTCTGAGCTTGGGGATAGCAATGGTTGGTGATTTTCCCAAGCAGATTTTCATCAAGTGCTTGTGAGAGCTGGCTGGGCAGTGGCTGCATGCCCAGGGGTGTGACATGCATGGAAACAAAGCTTTGCCAGGAGAAATCATGGCCTGGGATTATCACCCTGGATATTTTTCCTGTCCCTTCTGCTGGAAGAAGATGGCTGGTGGTGTAGTACATTATGCTGGCGTTTCCAGTGCACTATAGCTCAAGGGCTAGTCATGACTTTTGAGCCATTTGTGTGGGAGCAAGAGACAGCTCAAAGACCTTTTGGTACAAAGACATAGTCTGTTTCTCATTCCTTATCCAATTCAAATCAAACTAGCTCAGGAACACTGGTACACGTTGAGAGAATGGATTCCACAAGGGCTGTCTTGCAGTCCCCACATCTACCTGCATTTAGTAATCCAGTGGTATTCCCAGCAGAGCATGTGGCAGACAGGATAGCTCCTACAGTAGCTTCTGCACAATTTTCTCAAAGCCACAGTCCAAGTGGGTAGAAGAACAGGTCCTGCTAGTCCTGGCAAGCTCAAATGCCCAAGCGGGGTGGCCATGAGCAGGCAGTAGTTGTTGGGCAGGCTCTGACCACCTCCAGTGAGCAAGCCTTTATGTCTTTGCTCTTTCACATCTCTGACCTGACCCTAGAGCCTTCCTGGCCCATCCTCTCCCTCCCAAAAGCAATTTCAATTATTGATGCCACTTGCTGTGTTAGTTTAGCTTTCGCTCGATGTGAAAACTTGTGTTAGAATTGTGTATTGTAAGCACTGTCTCTACTGCAGCCAGGTTGAATTAACCCAGCTGCATGAATAAATAATAGGACAGCTTTCAAAACATCTGCAAAAGCGTCAGCCTCCCTTGTGCATTTGGAGGTAGGGCAGAGCTGCCGAGGTTGCAAGCTCCACACTCAGCTGTAAGTCCAACTTCTGGCTTCTACAGGTATTGAAGCAGTACTGGCTGACAAACAAGCCAGCCACTGCCTGTTCCTGGAGTCAGGCAACAAGAGCTCAGGAATGCACAGTAGTATTTGACACTGTGGAGATAATCCTTCTTTACTGCTCGCCTAGTAAATGTAAAACACTAGAGGAAGTGCCATGCTGTTTGCAAAGCTTCTTATGTATATGGGCAGGGTGGTGGGTGAGGGTAAGTGTAGGATAAGGCTTGAAGACTTTGGTATGCAGTTTTGGCTTCCCCACACCAGCGTGCCCAGCGCCTAAATGCCCTGAAGTTATATTCTCCCTTCCATCTTCCTACTCTGTCTTTCAACCTCTAACTGGTTTTCTTGGAACCCAGAAAAGGTGTCTGGATAGCTCACAAGTAATTCATAGAACCATGGAATCAGCTAGGTTGGAAAAGACCTTTAAGATCAAGTCCAACTGTTACCCCAGGACTGCCAAGACCTCCACTAAACCAAGTCACTAATGGCCTCATCTACACTGTTTTTGAATACTTCCAGGGATGGTGATTCCACCACTTCCCTGGGCAGCCTGTGCCAATGCCTGACTACCCTTTTGGTGAAGAAATTGTTCCTATTATCCAGTCTGTTAAACACACTAGCCAGAGGAAAGGAGAGGGCAGGGGATTGTAGTATCTGACTACAACTGGGACACATGCTTTGATAACAATAAACTGCTCAGGCCTGTCTGTTTAGGGAGATGCAGTATGTTGTTTTCTCTTGCAGAAAAGGCTTCAGTCTTTCAAGGTAGCATTTATCTCACCTATTGTTAGCCACCACCAAGTTTAGTGTCTTCTATCAATTTATGAATTCCTTTAGTCAATGGAGAGGCACAGGTCCCTCAGGAGTGTTGTTTTTGTCAATGTGCTAGTTTAGGCTGGACATACAGCTTTTAGGTGTTTTATGTTACAGGCGATAAATCCCACCTGTAACCAATTTTAGCATCCCGCAGTAACAACCATTTGCTATGATCCAGCATCCCACAATAAGATCCGTTCTCTTCTTCTGGGAATTTGCTTCCACAACCTGCCTTGAAGCCAGTTAGGAGGAGTCACTGAGGATCTACCCCAGGGTTTCAATGCCTACCAGTCTAGAGGATACAGCTGTAGAGAGGTAGCCTGGGCTACTAAAGTGCTGAGCTGGTACTGAGCAGTTTTATCAAATCTACCCAGCAGGTACTGCAGAAAAATCATTTTGGTACCTTGAAAAACAGGCCCAAGGCATTAACACATTTTTAATATGAGACACATGATCATTCTTGCGTTCTTCATTCTTTTCTTTTGTATTACATGCTCAGATGTATTTATTTCTTTTTGTGCACTCTTCATTCTCTGTTTATTTGCTTTTGTTCCCCTTCATTCATACTTCACTTTAGTTTATTCTTCCCCTCCACCTGTTTCTGACTCAGGAAACACTTCCATTTATAGTTCATTCATGAACAAGATAATGTGAGTGATGCCATGAATGGAGTTGGCTGTGCTGCTGGCACTTTATGGTGTGTGTTCAGGTCGTGGGACTTGGAAGTGCAGAAGTGACT